ACAATACTTGATAAATTTTCCAACAAAAAAAGTTATTTAGATGTTTCCTGTAATGAAATGTTATGCTTTAACATCAAAAGGATGTTGCACATCTACCCTATTACTTTAATATCTTCATTCAGAGCAGAAAAAGGAAATGAATCCATAAACACAAATGCAATAACTGGAATATGCTTTAAATTTCAATGGGCGTGTTCAGATCATTGTTGGAAGAACTGGAGCCATAAAAGTAAACTAAACTGACCAGAAAGGAACTGAGAAAGTGTTTGAAAAGGTTTTTAAACTAGTTTGGAAACTGAGGCTCATAATTATGATCATCTGTGCCTGAAAACCACCTTCAGCTTTGAACCCAATAGCTATAACAGCAGATCTTTACATAAATACAGCAGAACCTCTACATAGGAATTTAACTGGTTCCAGGACCTACTTCATATGTTAAAATATTGGTATGTTTGTTCAAATATTCACATCAGAATACACTGTAATTGGTATAATTCGTTCCACAGCCCAAAAACCTACGATAACCCCTTAAGAAATACTGCAGATAATCACACATAGCAATACACAAATGCATTATATAAGAGAGATGTAAAAGGAATAGATTATAAAGAAATAAACAATTAAAAGGGTTTTATTGGCAGGTAGAGACTGAGATACAGGACGAACCCTAACTTAGTCTAACTTTCACTACCTGAACTTTAAACTAACTTAGTTTATTTATATATATATTTCATATATTTTTTTCTGACTCCAACGTCCTGTTTGAAATTTGCTTTGGGTGTCGAGTCGAATATTTGTGTTGGAAAATGTGTATATTTAGGCATCGTAGGTAGAGCTTCTGCTGGACTGGTTTCTCATCCATCTCTGGTGGCCTGATTTGACTTCAGTTACTGGATTTTAAGGGTTTTAAGGACCCGCTTGGGATAAGTGGGGAGTAGCCGGGAAAAGTGAGCCACTCACCTTTTTCACCAGGTCCAACTGGACGTCCCCCGGAGGCTCAGGGAGGACCTTACTGTTCCGGCACCCCATCACATCACATCACATCCGCTCGGGCAGCTGCCCAGCCAGCCACACAGGCCTCCAGGAGCCCTGCCTCATCACCGCACCACACCCAGGCTGCACGCAGGCCCAGACCCACGACCCGGAGCCGGCCCCCAGCCAGCGGCCAGCAGCAGCGGCCGGCGGCCACCAGCGCGAGTCCAGCCGACGCCTCCCCGGAGCTCATGAACGCATCCTGCTCGGCGGGGGGTCCACGTCTGGAAAGGGGCTGCTGGTGGTTCTCTGGTTACGGAGCCTGATGTGGGTCACTCCCCACCAGGAGAAAGCTGGGCCCCCGGCTCAGAAACGGCATGAAGGAGAACCCCAAACGCGCCGCTAAGACGATGGAAACGGACGGAGGCGGAGAAAGGAGGCGTCCTTCGGCTGGCGCTCTGCTCGGGGGGTCAGCAGGACCCCGGGGGGAGCAGGGCTACTCAGATAGGCTGGGATCCAGCCACAGAACCCAGCAGCTCCTCTGAAGAACGACAGGCCTGAGGAGGAAATGAGAAACCCATGTCAGTAAGTAGAGACACATGAGCAGCTATGTGGATGGGGAGCCTGGCGTGGAAGCATCTCCAAAAAAACATGAAATGAGGAGATAAATTAAATCTGCTCAGACGGTGTGTGTGTTAAACATCTGCTTTTAACATTGTTGTACTAAACAACACAAACACTACAGCAGGAAACCCCCCAAAAAAGGGTTACAAACAGCCAACAAACAGCCATGTTCACTTTAGAAACTTATCAGGAGCTTTGGAGTGTTTTTCTGTTTTTTTCTAATCTTTTTTTAAGCCCAGGCCTTGCTCTTGTTAACTTTTTCCCGCATCTGGTCGCATCCAGGGACTTTTTCCAGCGGGAGCGGAAATCTGAGCGGATTCTCCAACCTCCCCGACAACAAATGTGCCCCCAAAAGCGGAAAAGCGGCTTTAAAACTCACCTCCTAACTTAGCGGAGAGTCTTAGCTCGCTAACTAGCCCGCTAACAGCAGGGCAGGACTCCCAAACTTCTGCCAAATCCAGCCTCCTCACCCCACTCTCACTCAGCTGGGCTCTCCATTTTCACCCCGTAGTTTCCCGACTTTCCTTCCGACGGCAAACAAGCGGAATCCGTAACGGACCTCCTCGTTAACACTTCCTGTCAACTCCCGAGTTTGGGAGTTTGTTTCGGGGTTGTTTCGAAGCGTGAACTGGGGTACACAAACATGCAAAGTTGCCCCGTCGGTCGCCTTTTCTGAACGCTGTTTTTCGACAGAGAACCACCTTCCCACAACCAGCCACACGGAGCAAAAACCTGGATGCAACACGGTACTTCCGGTGCAGACTTTGCAAATAAAACCCAATTCCAAGCGCTATTTTTTTTGCTTTTACGTTTGAAGAGTTGCACATATCTAATTAGGACATATGTTAACATTTTATACCTCACTTTGCAATTTTATTTAATCCAAATAGGGCCTGGAGACTTTCACAGCAGTCCATTAATGGAACAAACACAGACAAAAAATTAACTTTTACCCCTGAAGTCAATTTAGACTCACCCATGAACCTAATATGTGAGTTTCTGGAAGAAGGTGTTTACAGGGAGAACATGCAATCTCCACAAAAACGACCCCTAGCTGGATGGGACCCCCTTTGCTGTGAGGTGACCAATATTTTCCCTATTTTATTCAAAGTCCAGTGTTCTACATAAGACAACACTTTTATTTAACATTGTTCTGTTTATTGGAGCAGTGTGTTATCCTATAAACACAGTTTTCACATTCCAAAACAAGCATATAGTTTTAAAACAACACTAGACATATGTTTTATTTTGTAATGCTCATCCCAAATTCTGCTGTGGTGATTCAGGACCACAAAAACTTGCTTTTTAGTTTTAGTGGCCATTAAAGATTTTAAATCAAGAGTATAGAAAAAAACAAGGTTCTGTATTGACCACTAAAACACAATCGGCTCATACTAAATTATTACAAAAGATGAATCAACTCAAATGGGTCTTAAATAGAACATTAAAGCATTTTAAAATGTTAAGCACAGTTATGGCTGACTATAAGGAGATCAAAACCATATATAGACTCCAAAAGCGAAATAATTGCCACGATGGAAACTAGCTCCAGGTTCTGGTGCTGTCACTCTGGTAATTTGGGGGTCAAGGGTCACCTCTCACATCTTTCCAACTTCCCTCTTCGGCTTTTGTTTTTTTTTATCCTCCTTCCTATTGATGTTTCTTTATTTTGGGATTAAAACATCTGTCCAGCTTTTCTGTTATCCACCACAATCTCCAGTTGGCTTGTTGCCACTTGTTAAATCTTTAATGCTGAGGTATCATAGGATAGTAATTCTATCTTTGCCCACCACCTTGGGAGGTATCTACAATTCAGGGAATTTCCTCCATGAACCTGTGCAGATGTTTGCTCATACGCAGGCTACTCCAGCGCTGTGGAGGTCAGGCTGCAGGTGTGCCCACATCTGGGCCTGTATTCACAGCTTTCAACTGGAATCCTCTTTGAGGTGGTGGATCCTAATCTCTGCTGCTTTATTCAAACATCTAAACTACCAAAAAATATACCTTTTGTGAGATTTTGACCACGCGTGGAGAACCATGTAAAAAAAATCGTATAATTATTATCTTCTTATTTTGAAGGCTTGGGTTGCCAACTTCCGTTACACCTCTACCTGTCGGTATGTAGCTGGACGCATCTCCCCTTCCGCCCAACTTTTCTTTCCCTTTTTTTCCCCCTGTTCTCTTTGGGAGACGGGACGACCTCCCTTGACTTGTTTCGACCCCGTTGAGCCTTCGCCGTCACTTCCGGGACGTCAAAAAGTTCCCCTGACCCGGAGGAGAGAACCTGAAGTCACCTCTCATCGGCTCCTCGTGCGGGGATCACGTTTTCTGACTTTGGGGACCACGCCACACGCAGTGAGACGCACATCAGGTGCTCTTCTGGAGCCCCAACTAAAACACAGAATCATCTCAAAGTCTTTTCAATGCTCCCAAAATGTATTTTTTCCTGATTTTGACGTGGGGAAAAAAAACCTCTACAGGTGGCATCTGCAGCAGAGGGTCCTCAGGCACCAGGGCTTTGTCCACACGGGGTCACTGTGCGCGCACACGTGGGAATCCGGGGTTCCAGCGCGATCTGTGCGGGGCTCAGCCCTCACACGCCTTCCACGAGCCGGAGTGAGTCGCGTTTCCCCTCCATCCCGCTCGGTTTTAGGGGCGTAAAAAAAATCAAATAAAAAAAAAGCTGCCCTTGACGTGCGCGCGCCCGACGACTTGCAGCAGAGTTTTTGCGCAGCGGCGTTGAAAAGTGGAGGATTAGTACCGGGAAGACAAACGATCCAGAAAGAGACGCGGAGAGACAGTCAAATTCATCTTATGATGCCAATAAAGCTCCTAGAATTGGATTGAGGAGGTGAAAATGAGTGGGAGGAAGAGGGGGGGGGGAAAGGGAAGACAGATGGGGGGTACCAGACAGAAAAATAGGAAGGGGGGAGGGGAAGGGAGGGGATGGGAAGGGGGGGGGGTAGACAGTAATCAAAATGGAAAGAGGGGGGTGCAGAGATACGGTGGAAGCCTCCGGGACGCGTTCAGAGAGAGAGAACGGAAAAAAGGAGGATGGAGGAGAGTCTCAGAGGAGTTTCCTCCGCAGTGCAGCCCGGGTCGGGGGCCTCGCGCCCCCCCCCCCCCCCCCCCCCCCCCCCCCCCCCCCCCCCCCCCCCCC